GTAATCATTTTATTGAAATTTGATAACAAAAGTGACAAGTTAATATGTGAGAGAATTCTGTGGTAGCATGACCAATGTAAAGAAATAAGGTAACTTTTTCTGCGGGAAAATACAATTATAAAAAGAATACTCGCAGACAAATACAAGAACGGACCAAAGATTAGGATCAAATTTATTTTACTATGATTCAGGAAACTTCAAATGGGGTTTGTTAATGCGCAAAATACATATTATTTAACGTGTGTGTGTGTTTTTTTAGTTTTTAATATGAAAAAAGCTTCGAGAATTTGAAGACTGTTTCCAGTTGATATTTTATGAGATTCATTAGTGGCTATTATAGATCCTCTATACTATGTTTAAGATATGATCAGAAATGTGGCAAGTTAATCTGCGAGAGAATGTTGTCGCAGGGCGACCAACATAAATATAACTTTGTTCGTAAGAGTGCAAAAGATATTTAGAAATTTATTTTATGAGTAAAAGAAAAAATATTTTAGGGGAGATGTAATTAAAAAGTTGCGTGATAAATCACAGCGGATAGTAGTATAAAAAAGATCACTTACCGCATATACTCCTGTAGAAGTCTATTTCATGTATAATACGACTCCTGAATTTATTTTTGAAAAACCTGAATGTTTCCATATAGCCCGTGTATAATGTGACCCCAGCTTCTGAGCAATACTAGCGGGCCTACCGTAGTCAAATATTGCACTACTGGGCCTCATCCTGGACATATTTTAAAACCACTTACCGTAAAATACCTGATACAAAGATTTACATACCATACTTTGGTTTTTGTTCATGCCTGACCTGGTAGGTCACGGTGACCGAAAATCCATGAATTTTAAACCTTCCAGAAAATAATTACCTTTTAAAAGTGAAACCGGTCACGTAAAATGGATAATATAAAACGGCGACAATTTACCCATCGCACTCTGTATATACTCGTGTATAAGTCTACTTCATGTATAATGCGACCCCTGAATTTATTTTTGAAAAACCTGATTGTTTCCATATAGCACGTGTATAATGCAACCTCAGCTTCTGAGCAATACAAGTAGGCCTGTTGTATTCAAATATTGCATTATCATGGACTTATTTCCTGGCAAATGAATGATCTTCATTCATTTTTTTTGTACGAAGCTACTAAAAAATAGTGAGAAAAACAACAACTTACCATAAAATATCTCTTAAGAAGATTTAAATACTGAACGTTTGTTTTTGTTCAAACCTGACTTCGGTAGCTCTTTTACCCTGGACCTGCCTCCTACGTCGCCGAAGTTTCTTCCCTTTTGTCGTCACATGAAAAACCAAACTTCATCCACTTAAAATCAAAAAAAAAATAACTTATATAAATGAAGAATTAATAGATTTTTTCCTATCTCAAATTTACATTCATCTTCGTTTCGCAAGGGTTTACATCACTCGTTATTAGTTAATAAATTGCCGCATATACTCGTGTATAAGTCTATTTCATATATAGTGTGAGACTTGAATCTTTTATGAAAAATCTCATTTTTCTTCATATAACTTTTGAGCAAAACTAGCATGCGTGCCGAAGTCAAATATTGAAGTACTGGGCATCATCCTGGACATATTGTAAATAAATGGTTTTCAGATTTTTCTACATATCTACCCGAAAATGGTGAGAAAAACGATTGACCGTAAAATATCTCATAGGATGATTTAGATACTCTATTTTTGTTTCCGTTCGCTTTTTTTTCGCTAATGTTAGCCAAAGGTAACGTAAGAATGTCGGCCTACCAAGTTGGTTACCGAAAATGCTTGATTTTTAACCTCTTCAAAAAATGACCTGTGTATAGCGCGACCCTCTGCTCTTTTTTTTTGTTTTGTTTTTATCTTTTTGTATTGTGTAACAAATTGATCATAAAAAAATCGCCCTATACACGAGTATATACGGTATCTTGTTCTACTGGAAAATACAAAATATAAAAACAATACTCGGAGACAAACGCAAGAACAGACGTAAGATTAGGGTCGATTTTATTTTCCCCCATGATACGGGAAACTTAAAAATGGAGGTTGTTAATGCACACAATGCACAAAAGTTTGAGAATTCGTAAGCGTAGACACGAGGGTGACCCATCGTCCAATAGGGGGTCAGAAACAGTTTTTGAAAGACCTCCTAAATAATTGCTGGTAAAGACAAATTACGATCTGCTTCTCCCTCCCTTTCTCTATCTCTCACATTCACACACCTACACTACACACACACACACACACACACGCACACGCACGAGCGCGCTTGCACTCACACACTCTCAAACACTCTCACACACTCACTCTCACATACACGCATACTCTCACACACACTCACACCTTCTCTCTCTCTCTCACACACACACACATACACACACTCTCACACACCGCCAATCACACACACAATTACGCATATTTCATTTTATTTAATAGAACACATTTTTTATTAAATGTTTTTTGGCAGATTAAATTAAATTTACGTCCACCGGTATGTGTATTCGAGAGCCTTAATAAAGACTATGTGCTTTTGTCACGGAGTGGTCTAAACCCTGCCGGGAATGGAGGTGGTTTCCCCTGTAAAGTGAACACAGTTTCGAAACAATGTCGGAAATCACATATTATTTAAGACGCACGAATGCACAAGCCGGTAGACGTAAATTTACAGTGTTTAATAAAAAAGAGGCAGAGACGTCAACTCAAACACGATTACCCGCGAAATATAAGATCTAAAGTAAAAATAATAAAAAAAAGGCCACTAATTCTTAAAAAGTACTTTTTACGTTTCTTTATACGAAAATTTAGACTTTAGAATTTTTTTTAGAAAGATTAAGTTGATGGCCTGTGAAAACCTTCCTTGACTGTGTAGTCTAAAGCAGTGTTTCTCAACATTTTCTTCTTTGTGGCTAATTTTGGGTGTAAAAAAAAAAAAAACATGGTTGTCGAAAGAAAATTCCAGTCCCACATAAGCACAAATGGAATTTCCATGTAACGGGAAATGCATTTTCTTTACAAATGCAAAATGCAGTAGAAAATATAAATCCTAACCAATAACGATACTGCCCCGGTGTCACCAGACCTGTTTAAAATATTTCTCAGGGCCATTTTTGGGCATAAGAGCCAACGTTGAGAATAGCTGGCTCGGCGTGTTTTACAGCCAGCTATTCTCAACGTTGGCTCTTATGCCCAAAAATGGCCCTGAGAAATATTTGTAAAACACGCCGAGCCAGACTGTGATCTTCTCTATAAGGTGGGCGTGTACAATTCTTAATCTAGAACGTTCTTTGACAGAAGCGCATGTCTAATATCAATTTCGGTTTAACCTTTTTTTTTTTTTTTTTGTTTGTTTCTGAGGATGACCAGAGAATGGTCGGAAGCTATAATCTCCGACTATTGAAATGTAACGTCAATCGGCAACTCCAGATGCCCTGAACTATCCCCAGTCTTCCCTTCATTCTTTCATATAAAAGGCTCGAACACTAATATTCCATGGTTATAATTTATTACGTTGGAATCGTAATAATGAACAAATACATCAGACGTACAAATTGAAAAAGAAATAAGAAAATATAACTCCGGGTATAAAAACAAAATTTTAGTTCATTTGTTTTCCATTTCATCATGTAATGATGTCATACCCATAATTGCAGCAATTTATATATATATATATATATATATATATATATATATATATATATATATATACCTAAATGGATAAATCCGACAGAATGTGAAATTTTTGAAAACAAACAAAAATCCATAAATGTAGTTAAAATGAAAGAATTGTCGACGTCAGACGTTTCGGTTTTAATAAACCATTTTCAAGACAAAATTCATTAAAATACAAATTCAGTTCAATATGACAAAAACGATGGACATAAAAACACAAGTCTTATCATTTTAACTACATTTATGGATTTTTGTTTGTTTTTCAAAATGACATATATTATATATATATATATGTGTGTGTGTGTGTGTGTATATATAATTATTGTTACAATAGGCATAAAATTAATGTATATATATAATTGCTGCAATTATAGTCATAAATTCAACGCACTTACATAATGAAAGGGAAAACAAATTACCTAAATTTTTGTTAATATATATATATATATGTGTGTGTGTGTGTGTGTGTGTGTGTGTGTGTGTAAATATGTAATTGCTGGAATTATAGGCATAAAATCAACAGACTTACATAACGAAAGGAAAAACAAATTATCCATGCTCCAATGAAAAGGGTATTCATAAAAAAAAAACGAGAAAATATAGCCAAATCTGATATACCCTGACGATCGGAAGGAGTGATTGCTGTACAGCCCATCTATGAAAGTCTAGAGTTAGGATGCTGAAGATAGCACCAGTCATTTCAGTGACAAATCTTAATATTATATTTGTATTAATTCTTCCCCCTCTCTCTCTAAAAATTCTCTCTCTCTCTCTCTCTCTCTATATATATATATATATATATATATATATATATATATATATATATATATATATATATAACACATTTACACACACACATATATATATATATCTGAAATAAAATATTATAATTAATTGCATTTTTTTACATTATTCGGACTGTTATGTGAAACATTCATTGCCATATTCACAATATTTCGGCCGTTGTGCAGGCCTTCTTCAGCTGATTGCAATTGAGGAAACATGGCCCAGTGGATAAAGACGTTGGTTAGATTCAGTCACTAGACCGAAATTGGTTTTTGAAAATTATTGAGGC